GCATTTTACCAGCACTTGGTGCGTTATATGGGGAGGGAAAGATTCAGCAGAAATAGCACATTCTCAAGCCAAAATAGCAGAGTTGCTTTCTTAAACTATTACTCCGCAGGAATTAAAATAGGAAAGAGCACTGAAGAAATGTATAGGGGAAGGGTAAGAGAAGAAAAGCTACGCTCACCTGGTTACTCAGTGTGACACCGAGGGTAGTGGTTTCTGGGGGGAGAGTAACCTGATGGGGTTAACAGGGCAAAGTATGCTTGGAAGAACTGGAAAGAGGAATAAAACAGAGAAAGAACTGTTTGGTTCCCACGTTATACGTGAGGCACTGTAAACATTTTCCATGTACCATTTCATTTATTCCTCACCTTATTCCCAAAGCAACATTTAATAACTGAGACATTATATTTTACTCATGTCATTTATTATTGTCTTTCCCCCTCGCTAGTATGTAAATTCCAAGTGGACAGGATCTTTTTATTCTCTCCTGTATCTCCCAGGGCCTACAACAGTGCCTGGCACATAATAGGTGCTCAGTAAATATTTGTTGCATGAATAAGTAGCTAGCATTAATTGAGTATCTATTATGTGCCCAGCACTGTAATAGATGGCTCCCCATGACTGAACTCATTTTAACTTTCACAACCAATACTGACACAGGCACTATTATTATCCCAATTTTACAGATGAAGAAACTGGGTTGGAGGCAGAGATATTGAGTAATACTGAGTGACTTATCCAGTAAGTGATTGCTTGATTATTTCAACCTAGACAGTCTAACTCCAGAACCTGACTATGAAATCACTGTCTCATACTTAGGCTCATAGAGATAAGTGACTTGCACAAAGTCATGCAGTTTAAGACTGGCAGGGCTGTGGTTGAAACCAAGGTCTGACTGTTCCAGAAACTGTTGCCCTTTCTTCTGTACTTCCCTGCTTCAGAAGATTGCCAAGATAGTGATTTCTTCCATTATCATTTTACCTAGGACTCACCTTTCTGATACAAGCAAGTGGGTGTGGTTCATTAAGGATTCAGATAATGGTAACAGCATTCATCCAAAAGAATCACGGGTCCCAACAGATCACCAATCTGCCACCTGATCTTACTGTTGGTATTTGGGGCCGGAGGCAGATGAGGCATGGGAAACCCTGGTGGAGCCGTCTATGCTGAGAGCCAGGCATTGAGGGGAAGTTGCTTTCATGCCGGGCAAATCCCGACCCATGCCGTCCTACATAGCTCCAGAGGTAGGGATGGTAGTTTCTTCCTCTCTTTGTGTCGCAGTTTCTTTATGATAGGGAGGCATCGGTGGGCTCGGTTGAATCAGGAGAGCTTTACTTTATCCCTTCACATATTGGACTTTTCCACATAACACTTCATTTGGAGAAATGATTCCACGTGAAAAACCGTGCTTTAAAAAAATCACTTCACAAAACAGTCTCTGGTTCCTTCTAGCTCAAACCTTCCCGGAATCTAAAAACATGGAGACTGTCCTTTGGGTCAGCACAGCATTCCATTCAGCCTTCCTTTCTTTCTACAGCTAGGAATGGGTCCAGGGACATGCTGTGAGAGGCCATTCACAGGTCCCCTGGGCCCCAGCTTCTCTCAGAGGCCGTTAACCCTGTCCTCACGTGGCAGTTGTCTTCCCCATTGGGACTTCCTTTTTTTTCTTATTAAGTTTTTAATTTTCATTCCAGTATAGTTGACGTGCAGTGTTGCGTCAGTTTCAGGCGTACAAGATGGTGATTCAACAGTTCTGTACATGACTCGGCGCTCATCACAATACGTGTACTCTCGAATCCCTCCTATTGGGCTTTCTACTTGCATTACTTGTATATGTTGAGATAGAGCAAAAGTAACTCTGCCCAGTAGTATTTGCAGGACAGCTGTGCCTCTGTTGTTTATATGAAGGGAATAGAACATTTACTGACTTTCTCTTAACATTCTTCTTGTTGATGTCCGCCACCGTGTGTCTCTTGGACCACAGTAGCCTAGTGTTGCCTGAGGGTTACTGCTGATCTCCAATACTCCTAAGTCCTTTGTCTGAGCCACAATTCCACTCCCTCACACCTGCTTACTCACACATTTGTATAAGGTTTTCCTTTGTCTCGTTCTGCTTATCGTATACATAGGCTGAAAGACATCGCTGGGCACTCCTTCTTGCATTCTGGTTTTCACATATTCAATATGATTCCCTTTTTATAAAGTTCTAAAACAAGCACAAATCACATTGTATTGCTTCGGGGTGTGTGTCTGCACATTTTAAAGCACCAAGGTGATGATAAACACAAAATTCAGGATAGTAGTTATGGAGGGAGGGCCAGGGGATGTCAAAACAGGGAGATGGAATAGAGGGGGGAGACAGGTAAAAATAAATTATCAGTAATGTCATAGTTCTTGGGTTGGGTGACAGTTTCATGAGTGTTCAGTGTGGGTGTTCATAAATAAATAAATGTCATAAGTAAAATATGACAGGTCCATATATGAACTAGCAATGTTTAATTCTATACCCCGGAGGTTCAAAAACAATGATTAGAAGAGGAATACGAGATTTGTTTTTTATTAGCCAGAATCTCACTTCCATAATATACTTTTATTTTGTTTCCTTCCAATGTGAAGGGCTTTTTTAAAACTCTAAGTGGATCATAACTATAAGTTTGCCTCTCTTCAAGTTAATTTCCCCCTCAATTATTATCCATAACTTAGATTGGGGTTCTCCTTGTTGGAAATATATTGCGTCTCCCCATGAAACTACTTTGGTCTACGGTTCACGGATCCTCTTCTTATCTTGGGCCTTGCATGCTAGTTGCATGGATCCAAGAATTACCAACTGCCGCCTGAATGAAGGTCAGTGAAGGGCCATGAGTGCTTGTTGCCAGATAAAATACGTGATTGCTAAATTTGAATTTCAGGTAAACAACAAATAGTTCTTTAGTATTTTTATGAATTTGAGGCATACAGAATCCTCTGTTTCACTTGCTAAATCTGGAAATCCTGTCCCATTGGGCCAATAACCACTCTTTAATGTCATTATTGGATTGGGGTCCTAGAGAGTATGAGTTTTGGAGTCAGACTGATTCCAGTTCAAATCCTGGCTCCTCCACTCAAGACAGAACATTTTTGCCTCAGAATTCTTATCTGTTAAATAGAAATAATAGCAATATGTCATCAGGTTGCTGGGAATATTAAATAATACTTGTATTGTACTTAGCATAGTGCCTGGTACATACAAAGCTCCCAGTGGCTATTATCATTATTGTCAGTTTTATATGGAAGATCATGTGCACCAGCCAAGATCTGACCTCCATTTACAGGATCAGTTTGGGAATCGACCTTCCTTAGCGTCTTCCTTGGTGATGACCAAGGCAAAGTAGCATCTAGCCTCTTCCTCTTTGTTTCTGAATACTTCTTTTGGCCCCATGTCATGAAGTGCCCCAGATTCATTTCTGCAATTGGCTCTCTATTTTTACTATAAAGACCTTTTTTATGTATGTGTTTGGGCGTCACTTAGAATTCCTCAAGTTGCAGGCTATTGTCTTCCCTGCTGGATATGCTTAGGTGACTGGTAATCACCTTTGAGATGCTATCCTTAAGCCAATGACTTATGAGTTTGGCTAACAAAGGGGAACAGCTTTGATCAATAATCAGTTTAAATAGAATGCAGGGAAAGCAAGATCCCGCAGATACTGAGAACTCTCTGTTTCTCACAACAGGGTGAAGAAAGAAATCAATTGGTTTTCCACTTGCCTTCCTCCTACTCCAACACCTTCCTTCTTTCTGGTGCCCCGTGCCTTCACTGTTTCTCTCTTCAGGGAGGACTCCAGACCCTTTACGTTCTCTTCTCCGACCCACCCTTCCTTCTCGAAACTTACCTATCTGTTTACACACCCTCCCCAGTGTCTAAGAGGACGTAGGACACATTAATTCATCTTAACATGCTAACAGCTTAAAAAGATTCTATTTAATCCCCTTCCCAAGCCACAGAGTTTTTTTTCAACACCTGAAAAAGTAAGCCTGACAGTGGCTTCCTAGCAGATAAGGGAGGCCGTGCAGGGTTCCTTAAATCACACGGCATTATCAGCTGCCTGTTCTGTCTGCTTCGCATGAATGGAAGGGAGCGGTAGAGCAGATAATCTAAAGATCATTTCCACTTGGTTGGGGAATGCACCACACGGTGTTGTTGTAGCTGATTTGCTTTGCTAATTATGTTCTACTTAAGCTAATATTGAATTTGGTTCACATTTTTTAAGCTCATCTGGGCCAGAAGAGGGAAGAGGTGCTGGTGTGGCCTACTTTGAAATGAAAGACATAAAAGTTCTATGTGTGAGCTGATAGATCTAGAAGGTAAACGCAAAAGGAGCAAGATAGAACTTTGCCAACTACACCTCCCTCACGTGACTCCTTGGGCACCAAAAGGCCAGTCCTTCCATTGGCCTGCCTAGAATCTGGAATCTTCATCAGTGGCCTACATTAAGGGTCTTCATGATAACGTAACTATGGCTGAAGCATTACGTAACCTAAGAGGAGTAACACGTTTCCTAGCAGACACGTTAGCAATCTGCCTGACGAAATCATCAGTCCAAACTCCCTCTACTGGAGAAAGTACCAAAGGGGTGGGACACCAGACTGATACTGGCACGGGTACACTAAGAGACCACTGGGAAGCTGTGTTGTGAGTAGGAGAACACCAAGTGCCTTGTGGATGAGCTGGGAAGGTTGCTGAAAGAGGGCAAGGCAACCTTCACCTCTTTCCTTCCCAGTTTCTTAGTTTCTTGCTCATGGTAGACATAGAGAATATGCAACTCTATCAAATAAATTCTTCCCTTCCTTACTCTTCCCCTGCTGGGCAACTGGGCAAGGGCTTCTGGAGATTTCAGAGACCTTGGTTTTCCCTTGAGGCATGTCATTTAGAGCCAAGACTAACTATACACTGTCTTTCCAACCCTGCAAGCTGCAGCAAGGGACTGTTGGGCTATTGAAATTTCTTCCTCTTTTTCTCATTGCAGTCTGCTCCCAGTTCTCAAGAGGGGTGTACGCCATCTTTGGATTCTATGACCAGATGTCAATGAACACTCTGACCTCCTTCTGTGGGGCCCTGCACACATCCTTTGTGACGCCCAGCTTCCCCACTGACGCAGATGTGCAGTTTGTCATCCAGATGCGCCCAGCCTTGAAGGGCGCTATTCTGAGTCTGCTGGGTCACTACAAGTGGGAGAAGTTTGTGTACCTCTACGACACAGAAAGAGGTAAGAAGAGGCATCTGCTCTCCTCTTTGAATATTCGTGGAACAGTGGTATTCAGCCTTCTTCAACTCATGTTGGTTCCCTTCTCTTTTAATAAATAAAATTGAATACTCTTTTAAAACTGTATTTAAATTAAAAATGAATTTAAATGAAGGGGCACCTGGGTGGCGCAGTCGGTTGAGCATCCAGCTCTTGATCTCAGCTCAACTTGATCTCGGGGTCGTGAGTTCAAGCCCCGTGTTTAAAAAAAAAAAAAAGAATTTCAATTAAGACCGAAAAATTGATGCGCTGGTAATTTTAGAATCTAGTTTTTCAAACTACATATGTCCTCCCACCCCCGGCCCTGAAAAGGGGTTTGGGACTCTCCTGGATGAGTCACTGTTGTGGAAAAAGAACCCTCTCCCCCCAAAATAATATATGTGGTCTAAAATTCACAAAGTAAAAGCAGCTTTGTCTAAAATAGAAAGAGGCATAAGCTGGAAAGTCTTGGAAAATTAATCCTATCACAGAGTGTGATTATCCCCATTTCATAGATCAGAAACTGAAGCCCGAAGAAATGCGCTTTTTCACTCAACCATTTCACCACAGAGGTGGGGCTGGTGTCAAGGTCTCCTGCTTCTAGGGCTTGTTCTACCAGACCACATCAAGTCTTCAGCTTATAGGGCCTCAGCAATTATCTTCTGGAAATACTGAATGGAGAGCAGCTAAACTGGGCTTTGCGAACGGATGTTTTTTTCAAATAGTGAGGTAACATCCTGAGGACACATTCTATTGAGACAGTCTCAGAAATTAAGGGTCTGATCTTCAGTGGTATACAGTTAGGTGTATTCGTTAATTATCTAAAGCACACACGTTATAATTCAGCTAACTAGACTCCTCTAAAGCCCAGTTATCTTTGAGGGGCTCCTTAGGAAAACCAAGGGATCCTACTACTGAAAGACTCCAAAAAAACATGTGTTTGCCCGTAACTCTGGTTATAGGCTGGGCATGGTTCTTTCTGACTCAGAGAAGGCAGAAGCAAATGGAAGGCCTGTCTGCCCAAGTAGTACCCAGAGAGGTTTTTCTAGGTAACTTAACCTGAAGGACCATTTTGTTTTTGGAAACCCAAAGAACTCTTCACTTCACTCCCATTTTGCTGCATCATCAAACACTGTAAGGAAATACTAAAGCCTGTATTTGCCCCATGGTACTTACTTCTAAAATATTATCAAATTTCATGAACCTAAAGCAGGAGACCAAGTTCAAGCTCTGCCATTAACTAGCTCTCTGATGTTGACCAATGCACTGAAGCTCTCTTGGCCTCGCCCCCCCCCAAAGCACCCCACTTCTTAATGTAACATTCTATAATTTTGTTGAGATATTATACCAGACACAGGATACTTTGTTTCTGGCTACTAACCCTAACTTCAGTTAATTAGTCAAGCAATTCTGCAAGTTGTTATCAACGCCCAATGGTGTGTTCCAGTCTCATGATAGATGATTATATAATAGAGTTCCAATGGGAGTGGACAGAAAAGGACATTCATGAAACAATCTATGAACAACACGGGACACTATCAAATTGAATACTACACTACAGACTCTGATTGCTATAAGAATTGTGAAAATGAAGCACTCCGGGAAAGTAGAGTTTTCAGAGAAGGATGGCTAGAGGATTTAGGCTTTAAAGGATGTGTAAGTTGTGGATTGCAAGAGAAGAGGGAGATTTATTGCAAAGCAGAAGATAGAGTTCATGTATTTTCTCCTCATGTCCCATGACCCTTTTTTGCCCATTAGCTGTCTGTTGGAGGAAAGGAAACAAAAGTCCATCGAGGTCTGTTCCTTATCCCTGCGCCTCTTCTCAAATCACCTCACTAAGTTGTTTGGACAATACTAAGGTCTTAGAGCCAAAAGAAACCTTTCCTACGCCTGTGTGTTGATATTTGTTTTCTCTATAGCCATTTAGCTGGTGAGACTAATCTAGTCTGCTTAAGAAATACTTTCTGTAGGGGCGCCTGGGTGACTCAATCAGTTGAGTGTCCAACTCTTTATTTTGGCTCAGGTCACGATCCCAGGGTCATTGGATCAAGCCCCACGTCAGGCTCTGTGCTGAACGTGGAGCTTGCTTAAGATTCTCTCTCACTCTCCCTCTGCCCCTCTCCCCCCACCTCTAAAATTAAAAAAAGGAAAGACTTTCTATTAACTTTTACACTCATTTCTTCCTTGGAAAGCCTTCTTAAAACACTGAACCATGACCCCATTCCAGTACTTTCAATAACTTTTATTGACCACATTGGGAAGAAACAAAGTAGTCTATTCTTTAAGACTCAACGTAATTATGCCTCATCCAACTAACAAACCTATTGTTCCTATGTTACCTAATGAGAACCTTCCAATGGAGGCAGCTCCCATTATCCAGTGTTTCCCAAATGTGCCAGAACTATGCTTGGTCTCAGCAACTTCACTTCCACTGCTACCTAGAATTCTCTCCTTCATCTTGATGATGAAAATCCTGCCTATGCTTCCATTTTTCAGAGCCCACCTCAAATTCCACCTCTCCAAGAGAGCCTTTTCTGGCTACTCCAGCTCGTAGCCATTCATTCATTCATTCATTTAATCGGTGCCAGGGTTACAATCGTGAATAAGATAGACATGGTTTCTGCACATATCCTCATGGATAGGACCTAATTTTAAAAAGATTCTCAGTGATACAGGGCACCTGAGTGACTCAGTTAAGCATCCCAAGTCTTGATTTCACAGCCCCACATCAGACTCTGCACTGACAGTGGGGGGCCTACTTGGGATTCTCTCTCTCCCCTTCTCTCTGCTCCTCCCCTGCTCATGTGCTCTCTTTCTCTTTCTGTCTCAAAATAAATAAATAAAACTTAAAAATTAAAGAAAAAAGATTTTCAGTGATAGCTTTGTTGAGAAGGGACATTTAAGTTGAGAACTAAAGGATTAGAAGGAGACAGCCATGTAAAGAATAGAGGGAACGAGTTTCAAGCAGTGGGAATAGCAAGTGCAAAGGCCCTGTGGCAGGGACAAGTTGGGCATGTTTGAAGAACTGAAAGAAGAGAAGTGAGGCTAAAGGGTAGTGAGGAGGTCGAGAGTGGCCTGAGATGAGACCATAGAGGTAGACAGGAAGCAGATCATAGCCATGGAGAATGGACAGGAGCCATGGGAAGGAGTATGAATTTTATTTTACCTTCATTGGGAAGTCTTTGGAGGATTCTGAACAGGGGAATCATGTGATCTAAGTTTCTGTAGGGAGTAGAATGTGGTGCAAGTGTGAAAGAAGGGAAACCAGTCAAAAGGCTACTGTGGTTATTTAGGTGAGAAATGATGGCAGCTTAGGCTAGGCTGCAGATGGAGAAAAGTGGATGGAGTTGAAATACATTTTGGACACAGAATCAACAGAACTTGGAGACAGACTGACTGTGGGATGTGAGGGAGAGGAAGGGTTCATGGATGACTACTAGGCTTTCAGCTTGAGAGACTGGGTAAAATGGTAATGCTGTGTACTGAGGTGACTGGGCAGGAGAGCTGATTTTGAGGAGTGGAGATCTTGCCCACCTCTGAACACCCACAGAACCCTTTTGTCCAGGCCATTCAATTGGCACTTAACAGAAGTGCTCTCCGTTGTCGTTTCACTGGGTCTGCTATATATATACCTTCCCAAGCCCCTCTCTCCAGAGTGGGAAAAAACAATTGGTTAGCCCCTAGATTTATACTTTGTGCCGACACTGGTACATAGCACTGGCCTGGAGACATATTTAGCGTTTTCCCAAACGTCATTATTGATTCATCAGGAGTAAGCCCATGTCTGTTTTTCATTGTTGGACTGAAAGAGAGAGAGAGGGAGAAAGAAGGGAAGGAAGCAAGCAAGCAAGGCTGGAAGGAATGGAGGGAGGAAGGGTGGCTGGAAAGGAAAGGAAAGGAAGAAAGAAGATGGGAAGGGAAGAAAGGAGGGGGGAGAGAGAATCCAGTTTATAAATCAGACTATGAGGTACAGTTCTTTAAAATATTCAATAAAGTATTGTATATTTTCTTATTTTCTACAATAATCATCTATTGCTTTAGTAATAAAAATTATGGGGAGGGATCACAACTGTGAAATCGAATTGTAGAATTTTTTTTTTAATTTTTTTTTTCAACGTTTATTTATTTTTGGGACAGAGAGAGACAGAGCATGAATGGGGGAGGGGCAGAGAGAGAGGGAGACACAGAATCGGAAACAGGCTCCAGGCTCCGAGCCATCAACCCAGAGCCTGACGCGGGGCTCGAACTCACGGACCGCGAGATCGTGACCTGGCTGAAGCCGGACGCTTAACCGACTGCGCCACCCAGGCGCCCCATCGAATTGTAGAATATTTTAAATCACCTAAGAGGGAAATGGAGAACAGAAAAACAGAAGGGAACACCTATAATTACATTCAAATAAGCTAAATATACAAATGATGTGACTCTACTGTATAAGGGCAGGGATAAGCGAGAAGCTGAGAAATGGGTTAAACAGCGAGGTCATTTAAAAGATTTGTAGCACAGGGGCACCTGTGGCTCAGGTGGTTCGGCGTCCAACTCTTGATTTCGGCCCAGGTCATCATCTCACACTTCATGGGATCGAGCCCAACATTGGGCTCTGCGCTGACAGCGTGGAGCCCGCTCGGGATTCTCTGTCTCCTCTCTCTCTCTGCCCCTCCCCTGCTTGTTCGTTCGTTCTCTCTCTCTCTTTCTCCGAAATTATGAAACAATGAATGGATTTCAAGGCTTTGTCAGCTACACGTGGATTTCTGTCTGCAGAGAAACATCTGGTTTCCATGTTGTTTCATTAATACAAAGTTGAAAACTGTGCTCTCAGTGCTGTATGCACAGCAAACCAATTCTTGGAAAAAGTATGAGGTTGACTACGTGAGATATCTGCCCCTCTGTACCCTCTCCTCTTTAGTGACATCCTTTTATTTACCCAGGGCTCCCCACTACGACACTTAACCTACACCTGCCGTCCCTGGTGGGAGCAAAGCCTT